TGTGTATTCAGATACCGATTCTCTTTTCTTTAATGTAAACCTTGTATAAATGTAAAGATTACTTTTAGCATTTAAGTAACTTCTTGTCAGAGCTACTTGAATGAGTACTCCAAGACTTCTGCTGATGGGTACAGCCAGTGCTTGTAACGACTGCTACATGCACCATGAATAAAGCAAATGTTTTTGTTTTAAGTGTATGATCAACTTGTACCCTGTTAGAAAACACATGTTTTGTGCTGTTTCTGCCATGAATATGAAATCAGCTCTGGATCCAAGTTTTCCAGATCCTCCTCTGGAAGAAAGTGCCATTTCAAAATGGCCTTCTTAATAAATCTTCTGTGACATGCTATAAGATTTTTCTCTTCTTCGGCTGTTTTTACAGAAACAGGTCTTACGAGGAGCAGCTGAGGGAACTGAGGTTCTTTAGTCTGGAGAAAAGGAGGCTCAGGGGAGATCTTATTGCTCTCTACAACTACCTGAAAGGAGGTTGTAGCGAGGTGGGTGCTGGTCTATTCTCCCAAGTAACAAGAAATAAGCAAAGAGGAAATGGCCTCAGGTTGCACCAGGGGAGATTTAGATTGGATATTAGGAAAAAGTTATTCAGCAGAAGGGTAGTCAAGCATTGGAACAGGCTGCCCAGGGAAGTGGTGGTCATCATCCCTGGAGGTATTTAAAAGAGGTGTAGATGTGGTCCTTAGGGACACAGTTTAGTGGTGGACTTGGCAGTGCTAGGTTAGTGGTTGGACTTGATGTTCTTAAAGGTCTTTTCCAACCTTAGCAAGTCTATGATTCTGTGATTTACTCTGAAGTTTTTGCCTGTGTACTATATGGAGCAATTGACCCCTTTGGGATCATTCTTGCTGCATCCCACTCCTGGATAGAAATTCCTTAGTTTGTTTTTGAGATTTAGGCATAATGATAGTCCAAACTTTCAAGAAGTCTGAGGGAAAATCTTCTCAAAGTGATGCAGCATGGAGCCCTTTAGGTACTCTGAACCTTCAGTTTTACCTTTAGAGAGGATAAGAGTTTTAGGGTTTGGGTAGGAGGAGTTTCCTTTCTCACTCCCAAACTAATTACTCTCTGGGAAAATTTGAAGCACCAGAACAGAGATTAAAAGACAATCGACTTGCTGGAATCCTTCACTTCAACTTTTGGTCCCATTGGGATACTGGAAATCTCATAATTGTCCTGTTTACCCCTTGACCCATTCCTCCTTTATTGGTTTTTTTTAATTATTATTTTTAGTTCTGACTTAAGACCTGAGTTTTTTATTTCTTTCTCTCTCTGGAATCCAGGACAGGACAGGTGAAGCAGCAGCATCTTCTGCTCTCGAAACTTCATATAATTGATCTCACCTCATGCAGTATCTTTGCTTGGAACTAATGATAATCGTGATCTTTTGACTTCAGTGTATTCGAGTAATTATACTTTTTAAGAGTCAGAAATATATTTTCTGAAATTCTGAAGATTTTGGTGGAGAGCAGGTGAAGTGATATAATATGCCTCTAGATTTATATCTGCTCACTTGCAAGGAAAGATTAAAGTTTGTTTGGCCAGTCACCTCTGATTCTGTATCTAGTTTGCTTTATATTTCATATTCCTGAATACTTCCTCTTAAAATTAAGATCCTCCAGGCTTGAGTCTGAGGTTGAATCTCTTTGCTTAAGTCTTTGTGGTAGGAGATTTTATCCTAGTTCTGCATTTTTCTTGCAACTGTGTTATTCAGAAGAGAGTGAAATGAAATACTAAAAATAATTCTTTTAATCTATGCCATTTGGCATGTAAGGAAGAAAGCACCGATTTTCCCCACACTCTTTTACACTTCAGATGTTGAGCTGTTGAGGCTCCATAACATGTAACGATTGTTGTTAGCACAGGATCATGTATATTCTTGCCAGTGTAGCAAAGCAGTATGACAGGGGTGTTTCATTGTAGAGAAACATCTTGTGCATGGAACCTTAATACCCAGGGCAGGGTTGTTGATAGTTGTTGTCACAGAGGTGATAGTAACTATGGTATCTCTGAGAGGCGTGTTTGCATTGTACCTTTCCAAGTATTTCCTTGTGATGTTAAAAATACAACTGAAATACATAATTATCAGGCCCTTAAAAAAAATATTACATTTACAGCATTAATATTAGGAACACTGGAGAAACCACATAGATAGTAGTTGTGGCCCAGATAACCTTCAGTGTTTTGCTCTAGTTTTTATCCAAGACTGTTGAACTATCACAGGAAAAATAATAGTTTAACAAGGAAGCTGTTTGGTACCCTACAGAACAACCAGTAGCAGGTTCATTAGTTCTGCTGAAAACACTTCTGTTGTTTTCTCCCACCTTTTCTCTGAAGAAAAGTATATGTAATACATGTTGCTGCACTGTGGCTGTCCCTAGCTAGTGCATATATAGATCATTCACTTCTCTAACTTGCATCAGTGATGGGAAGAAAATATCTGGGTGCTATAGACTACTTGATTCTCAGCTCAAGATGTCTGAGTTTCAGAGTATGTGCTAGCATGAACTTAAACCTTTGCTCTTGCTTGTGTCCTGTCTTGAGAGTCAATATCATATTTTTTCAAGTCATCATCAGAGGGAAGATACTTATCTTAGGGTGGAAGAGGAAAGATGAGAGAGGGGGAGAGGCAGAATTAAATCTTCAAAAGGCAGCAGCTTGTTTCTCTTCTCTCACTTTTGCCAGTGTGAGAAATTCTGCTGTGTCCAAGAGAGAAATAGAATATTCTTCCAAACTTTTTGCGGAGTGCTGGATCTGTGTCTCTGCCTGTCTTGTTCTACTGTGGCTACACCCAAATGGGAGAGAATTGGAGCTTCTAGAGCTGGTCTTCCTCTTTCTGTGGTGCAGCTGGTGAGCAGCTGTAGTATGCAAGGGAGTATGTCTGCACTATGCTCTTGCATGTGCCAGGGCTGTTTTTTGGTAGCATGCAAAATGGTTGTTTTCCCCTTTAGTAATAGGGATGATTTCAGCACTTTGTTTTAAGAATCCTCATGCCTCAGGGAATGCATTTTCACACCTAACCTTGCAAAGGTTTATTTTCTTTTCCTTAGTGTCTAACCTGTTTTTCAAGATACGTGCTAATCTGTTGTAAACATCCAAACTTGTTGTTTCACATGCTTCCATGACAATTTTGCAGTTTATATAATAAATAAAACATCTCTGGCAGCTCATGCACAGTTTTGCTGTGTTTTTTACCTGTCTCTTCATCTACTGTATTTAACTAAAGAAATGCTTGTTGCAGGGATGTGGGCCAGAAGAATTTTTGAGACCTGCTTAAAGGAATGCATATGAGAGGGAAGGCATTTGTGATACTTTTTTCTTTGGCATGTTTGAAGTTCTGCTATTTGAAGTGTTGAAGAATGTCAGTGATAGACTTCACTCTTCTCATTGCAG